TCGTATCCGATATCAAGCTAGTTGGATTTTGTGAACACCTGGTCGGCCGGCCGTGATTTCCTGCGTATAGATGCGATTTGCACCAGCCGGGTTGAGACTTCGAGGTTGCAATGGGGTTGCCGTGAGTTTCGCACAGAAGAAGAAAGCCGCTTTATCAGAATCACATAGAATTACAGCGGGTATGCCGTGCACTTTGACGCATGCCGGCCGCGCTCACAGATACACAGAGGGTGCCTCCGCGTAATCCTACAAAGACTAGTATTGAGTATAACTGACAGTGTCAGTTTGCTCAGTGCGGATGACGAAAAGTCGAGTGAGAATATAACCATTTACCACTATTAAGCGTGGTTCGTGTGTGTCAACTTACATAAGCTGTTTGATGATGTAATCAAGTGTGCCTTGAGTCTCGGTGAATTTCTCTTCTGTGTTGCTTCGATGAAAAGCAAAGCCGTCGGGAAGATCTCACAAACTTAATGACAAATACTGCTTAGCCATAGCTTTTATCTCAAAAGGACCTGAAGAAATGTGTTGGCCTGGCAAGAGGCTTTACAAATTCGGTGCATATATGCCGACAAGTAACGCCCCTCAATAATCTCCTTGAATATGATATCAAATAGTTTTGATGTACGGAAACGCAGCGGACATTGAAGATTGTAAAGAAAAATCATTTCCCTGTTCCGCCATTTTCAAATCCAAATTGGTCTAAGTACGTCGTATGAGACGCTTCAGCGTTTGCAAACTCGAAGCAAATATCGTTAGACTTGAACACGTGATCGCGAAATAGGTATCACTTGCAGAAAGCTGCTAGAAACGTGCTCTGTGTATAACACAAAGCATTTTGCAACAGGGTATGCTCTCGTCAATTTCAAAGTGAGCCTACTTGGCTCTCAGTCGTTTGCGGTATCGACGGATCGTACACCATTGCGCACACTTAATTCATTGCAGCATGTCTTACACAGTATAGCACATAGCTAGTCTTCATTACAGCTATTACATTGACGTAATGTAAAGCTGGGTTGCTCAATTTTTATGACGGATGAAATTCGCATAGCGCGAACCATTTATTGTCACATGATACGCCTATTGATAGAACGTCTTGTAACTGACATGGGTCAAATGCAACTTTGATTGCGCTACTCAAAACTTAGGGAAGCAGGGGGTTTGATACTCCAGATGTCGGGTTATAGAAAAAAATCGCGCGTTTGCACGCCTGCATAGCAATGCATTGTTTCAAGGACTGCTGTAATACATTACTGTCCCATATGACAACTAGCATGCTCATGATCAGGACCTCACGAAGTTAATACTGTCCAACTAACATAATTCTTCAAATCAAACGAAAAAAAGAAACAGTGTTCGCACGTGCAAAATGCTTTGGTGGGTCAAGCATTCGTCGCCTACCTCGGCGCCTTTGACCACTTTGCGATTTCGGCAATTTTCTGGCAGTCCATCAGTACTACTTATATTCTTGTCGTTCAGAGGCTGTGATCAGTAATCACCTTATGAGCAACATGATCCACCTTGCTCCTGCCTGCTGACAGCGTAATCGTCCAGTGTGAATATAGCCAGACTTTGTTTTATGAAGTGCTTAACCAGCATGGTTTGGCGATAGAGATTGCATCAAATTGAGATTTGCTCTGAACTTTGAAGTTTTGGCAAATATTATTCGAGATTCTTGGTATCGTATCCGGTATGTAATTGCTGACTATCCGCACACAAAGAAGTAGGCAGAGCAGGTCAATTGCGATATGAAGGATGTCTTTTGAAGCACTCGTGCAAGGATACCATTTCTGAAGTGAGTCGCTCACATTCCTTGAGTTTGCGTCCAATTTTGCGGCGCATGTCTCTTTAGACTATATACATAAACCGAATTTTAGAAAATCTCGGGTACATTTGATACCGCCACGATGCTGCTCCAAACTTAGTGTGAAAGAGGCCGTCGATCACATTCTACTTGCTGGTACCAGTAACGCTATGCTTCGTAGAAGAATTACCTCGTTAATCACAATGTAGTTGAGTGTCATGCAAAAATGTTTAATTTCATGGCTGAGAGTCAAGATAAACAAAAGCAACACACCACTAACAGAGGCAGGCAAAACACCATGAATCGAGCAGACCAATGAGAGTTCTACATTGTCATATCTAAGTCCGAGCTGAGTTTGCACTTTATCGAGCCGTTCACGGTTGGAGCGAATAAGATTTTAAGTCACATCAAACTATCCCAAAGAGAAGGCAACGAACGTTGTTTTTGCGGAATTACTGAAGCCATCGCTCTACGAGCCCGATGAGCGCGTAGTGCTCTGTTGGAGATGAAGCAGCATCGATATTGCCCCTACCCGCTAATCCAATCTAAGTGACGCGATTTTAAGCTACTGTTGACGCCTCAAGCCATTAAGTATGTATCCTATAAAGAAGCCTATCACTTATGTGCGCGTTCTTATACGCGACCTACTATGTTGGAGACAAGCCAGGCCACATAATGTATGTACCCCATAAAGAAGTAATTCACTTATGTGCGCGTTCTTACACACGTACTCCTATGTTGGAGACTGCTGGCGAAACATGGTAATACTCCAACTGAAAAGGACAAGAGAATTGCCAAGATCATAGCTAATTCAAATGAGATGTAGCCATGCATTTTGCTTGGAAATAGGTTTTACTCTGTGAGTATGCGTTTAGATTTGTAAAAAGATCCTTCGAAAAGACTTCACCAAGAAGATTAGCCAAGGGTCTCTCAAGTAAGTATGCACCTCGTTTCTTTCAGATGTGATACATTTTCAAATTAGTAAGACTTAACTAATCACCCTTTGTCAGGCATACCGATAGGGTAGCATCCTACATATTCCCCGGATGCTTCTTCACAAATTCCATCACTCTCATCTGTACCAGTACTGGCCGCGATACTTCGTCATGGTGTGGTGCTTGTTAACTTGGCTTTATACTCGAGAAGCACAGGATCAGTACAGATTTACATGTGTACATCTTAATGCGGTACTTGCTCTATTACATGCACGGTGATGCCGTCGAAAGATGGTATGAGACCATATCATGCACCTATTTCGAGATATACAGGTGTGATCATGCATTTTAAGTGCACATTTGACCCGAGTTTTTATCATAACCAGTAGACCGAGGCTTTCCATCTGGCAGCGTTCAGATCGTATACATTCCCCCACAAAGATTTGTGTAGCTTTGATTATTTCTTAAAGTGTATCATAAATCGCAATTTCTATCTATCGGAGTATATTTCTCAGCCACACACGGCGTTGTGCTGACGTCGGCAAGCCGACCGGTCGTGGCTTTTCTATCGAGCCCAGGAAAACGTCGTTTTAGCATCGATGACAAGGTCATTTTGAGAATTTGCGCGGGTAAAAAAACTGTGTTGTCTCCAGTTCAAAGTAGGTACTATAAAACAAAAAATATTAGCGAGTCAATCGAAAAACGAGCTACACTTTGTATGTAACTTATTGATATATATTACACTGACGCACGGCAAGTGCGCATATGCTAATGGACATATTGAAGTCACAAGTCATTCCAAATGAACTTACCTGGACGACATCCCAGCCGTACTTCGACCAAGAATGATTGAGATTTATGCCTTCAAATTCTTATCATTGCAGAATATTCGGGTGCATACTATTTCATTGTGTACACACGCATTGGACTTTTGTGTGATATTTGTGTGAAAAATAGTCAATGCGCCTCTGTAAATGATATGTCAGTAGGACACGTGGGCGGAATTCCTCATGTCATGCGAGATCAATAACGTTCTCGTGTTTATTAATTCGGTAAGGTTAAAATTGAGAATGGACTGAGCTATACATAACTTTTGAATGTCTTTTGTATTGGAAAAGAGAACAAACAAGTATTAAATTTTCTGAGAAACTATCGGACTCACTCCTGAGGCAAACGAATCAGTTGTTAAAGCGGACTCTCTAAAGCTAAGCTATGTTGTGAATGATGCACGGCATGGTAGTACTATGAGTTCCTTCTACATCTGAGTCGAGAAAGTCCCATGCGAAGATGAAACGTGATTTGTTGAACTATCAGCCCACGGAACAATAAGACATGCTAATACTTATGCCTTTAGTCGGTCTATAAGCAAAAGGCCTATTGGCATCACAAGGGTCAAGGGCGTTGATGGGACGCCTGATGACCTATCCTGGTTATGGGAATGCACTGATGAGAAAGCTTCAAAATGGACTTAAATGTTGTTTGAAAGGTCTAACCGGCTAGAATTATGAGGCCGCTGATACCAACCGGCTGCGGTGGGCTCTTCAGGAACACGGACAGAGTAACATCTATTGCTCGGAACGAGAAGAAGTGGCGCGGATGAAGTCACGGCGCTCCAGACGAAAATATCAGCGTGTCACATTGCTGTCTTTAATTTGGTAAGTCGCTCGCAGGAATGAACACTTGTACGCAAACTTCGATTGAAGGGGTCATCATTGCATGTAAAGAGTTTAAATGACATATGTTGCGTACGTACCGGGTGATCTATTTTTCGTGCACGATTTGGTCCTAATCTTCCAATGAGATCTTTAAAACATTACTAAAGTGGTGTTTATTGTACCAAACTTTGATACCATATTTAGTCCAGTCTTAGTTATGCTGTGGCCTGGTTGGCATGAACGATGATCTAACCCAAGTCAAAAACCTTGGATACCAGTCTAACCTGGTCATCCTCGGGACTACGCAAAGCCGTAGCTCTCCCTATCTACAGCAAAAATATACTCTGGAGTCCTATATTCCACCTTTCAAATCTTACTCAAAGCACTTACCAACAATATTGCCCATGAACTTGGCGGACTTTTTTTATGTTTTGTATCGTGGCTGTTTGCCCGCGCCCGAGAACTTTTGCTTTCTAACAAACCTGGGTTCAAAGTTGTCACAGCTCCGTTGAATGCGTTCTCGACTGGTGATCTAAGTCGTGCTTTTTGCGCCATCGGACCGTTAACTCGCGCTGGGGGTAAGCCAAAAAGCCTCACGTATGTTCTATATTAACTCTGGATTCCGTCCGGACAATTCTGGGCATGGGTCCATGCAAACAAATATGTGGGTATTAGGTCCCTTTTCGGACCCGCATTAAACGCTCAAACGATAATGGAACAGTCGTGACGAATGCAAGTACAATATCCCACGTAACGCTCGCCGGATACTTCGCCATTTTACCAAGAGCTCCTTCCGACCTCAGACGCTTTCTCCGCCACCATGTTCTCGACGCGGTAGTATCGATTCCAACGTCGATCTGCAAGAGAGAGGGGTGTGGCCGACGCGGCAGCCTCTTTGCTTCATCTGTGGCTGGTTCACAGCCTTCGTCCCCCTTGAAACTGCGCTTGACGAAGATGAAGAAGCTTCTTTCGCAGATGAACCAGATGAAATAGTGGCTGAGCAAGGTGACCCATCAAGTGTCGTCGACGTGACAACGCGTGAGGGCTAATCAACAGCTAGTATCTACAATGACAGACTCGTTCTTTACGAATGATGATCTCAGCTCCACTTATGGTACCGCCTGTAAATTTCAGTGACTTCAACAATCTGTAATCCTCTGCAGAAATCAAAAATCCTTTAAAGACTTTCAGCTCAAAACGAGCTTAGACTTGGGGGCATTGTGAGAAGACTAACAACCAATAAACAAGGTTCACTCATTAATTTGTCATACTTGATAACCTCAGATCACAGACTTAACTTGCGACTTACAGTCAGTCTCCCGCCTCTTCAGAAAACCCAATAAAAATTGCTGTATCCTTTGTTTAAGCCATGGTCATGCATTTAACAGTTATGGATTCCTTGTGACGCAAAATGCCTTTTGATTAAGCCACTTAGTCAATCACATTAACGCCAAGAATAACGAGCGCGCGTGTAGCCTGTTGGCAAATTCAATTATTTGTAGAACGCACAAGTGATTGTAAAGCCTCAACGTCGGTCAAGTCTACGATTGCTTGCTTATTTTACGGTGTACACAATCCGCACGAGCAATTCTCAGCATATACAACTGCAACACAGTCTGAAGGCTTATCGCGTACGGTTGACCGACAAATTGCGCAATGCGCGTGCGACTTTAGATTGAAGCTCGACATAATCGGAGTGCGATTCATCAACAATAGGCTCTTAACCGCCTTTTCGTGTAATCTCGCCTTCATTAGCATAAGTGTTCGTCGAGCTTCAGGGTGTACCCACCACGTATTTCGTGACGTGACGATCAAGTTCACGATAGCGCATATCCGGTATCGGAAAGTATCCAAGCTCGATGGTGACAAATACTTCTTCTCTAAAATCTTCGGTATCATTGAACTTGAATATTGTTCTATGTGGAGCAGGCGTGTGGGTTGTTACTTTAGCATAAGCTGGACAGAGATTACGAAGAGTGGGAGAAGAATTAGAAGGAGAGAGGAAGAAAATCTAAATTCTGGGTAAAGCCACTTTTGGGTGGGATCGTCTCACATTAACTATACCCCCTGTACAGTTGTATATCCTCTAACACTTCTGTTGTACTAAAACTGGAAGTGCTTATGAGTATAGGGAGGTCAAAAGTTTATTGGCTATATTAAATTTCACTTTCACCTTTCCTCCTCTTTACGTAGGTCAACTGCCCGCTGGAACCGAGCAACATGCGGTGAGGCATGTCAGTCGACCTGAGACGAGAAGCGTGTCTCCACAGACGGGCGAGTTCTGTTATAGAGAATGGGTTAAGGTTGCTGGCCAAAAGCACCGCATGATTCTCAGAAGACTGCTGGGCCATATGATGGTTTAGAAGGAAGAGGGTTCCCGATGCGAGAGGAGACAACTGGGTTCATGCTGATCATTCAATGTTGCGGAATTTCTTGAAAAGGCAGAATAAGCTTGAGCCTCAGTATGGTTCGCATCTTGGATGTCACTAGGTTATTCCTGTACTGTTATTTTCGTAATCTTGAGGTTTCATAGTTTTGGTACGGTAAGCGGGCCCGTTGCAGCGAAAATTTAATATGCGATTTAATTATCTACTAAACTTTACTAAGATATATTCAATTTCCTTCTACGCACTATCATTTTCGCACTTAGGTAGCAACTTGTACACTTATAACACAAAAAACACTATAATATGACCAACGCTCAGCTCTGGGCCGCAATTCGTGCGTTTACGGATGCGGAGCTGGATCATGTACGGAACATTATTCGTCTTTATTACTGCGCTAATCTCGCCGCATGTGATTCTTCTCCGCAAGTAACAATGAGCGATCAAAAAAACTTTCACATTTCGTTAAAATTCGGAGACACGGCACATCGAGTGCGCGTGGACAATTTTGTGCATGTGTTTCTCGATTACATTCATTATCAAGTGCAGCATCATGCTAAAGCAAAGATTTCCGACAATACAAACTCATTAAATGCTAAAACAACTCGGGCAATGTCAACCAGTTTCGATGACGAGTTTCCTCCACTAACTAAAGTCGAGATTAAACCAAACAAACGTAGAATCACTACGACGCTGCTTTCGTCTGATAAAGCAAAAGTCACAGCTCGACCAGTTCCTACTGTCATTGCTTTTCCTCCTTTAAAAGCAACTGGAAACTTGAAAAGTTCAGTTTGGACGAAGCACTCATTACTTGAAAAGCGCATGGGTGCAACTGGTATAGCTTCAAACTCGACTGCTGCTTTATCAAATGTGAATCATAAATCTGTGACATGGGCTTCTCAAAACTCAGGGCCTTTGAAGACAAATGAGCAAGAATATTCGAGTGTCAATTCATTTCATCAGCAACAGCTTTTGTCACGAAAAAATCAAACAGCAGTTCAAATGCCGCATTTGCAGCTCGAGGGTTGTCAGCAGGAATGTATAGAGGGTTCACTTTCATATCAAAAGCAGAACACAACAATGTCTAAAGGAGCGGTTTCTTCGTGGTTGGGATCAATGCCTCGTCTTTCGTCGTCTGCTTTTTGCGTGAACAAGCAAGCTGCCAAGCTTTACGGTTTCCTCATTCGAGAGCGCTTTATCAAGACGACATGTGTAGAGTTGCAAGTCCTTGTGAGTTTATTGTATCAAGTCGATTGTTCATCGTGTAGCCAATCTGTTGTCCACACAGTAAGTGACCGTAGCGATCATGTCACCATGACGGAATTTTGCTGGCGTACTCATTGTCTCGATTTCGCCGAAATCGTGTGTTACGAGATTGAAGATGTTCTGAAGTGTCTGAGCGGTGACCTGATCAAACTTGTTAATGAATGCCTAAGTGATGCTGAGAATATTTGCAAAGATCTAGCAGAACGACTGGAGCAAGAGTTTTGCAAACGTGAAGAGCTTCGTGTGACTGAAAGTACTCGACTTGGTTGTCAATTGCCGATCGAAATGAAAGCTAGTGCCGCTCGCAACTTTGCGCTTCCATTTAACGAAGAAACTGACTCGCGATTGCATTACCGGACACCATTTGAAGCACTTTTGTATTCGAATCGTGAAAAAGCTCGCGATGGATTGTTAAACTTGTTACGAAAATTTCAACAGCGACAACATAGTGTCGTCGAATTCGACGATGTAGCTATTGCAGCAGCAATGACAGCAGCACGCGACTTGTTATCAGACGTGTTGCCGGAGAATCGATGGTGGTTTGCTCAATTTTTTGTCCAGGAACTCGTCCAAATCGGGGCAAATCCATTTGGTGAGAATGACCATGATCTCGTCTTGAAAATTTTTAAGGATAAACTCGTCGTTAAGAATCCCGATCGGCTGCGTAAGCTGCATCGGCGATTTACGAGTCAAAAAGCTGCGTCACAAATACGAGGTGAGGGCGTGAACAACAAGAATCGATCAAACGGCGATGCTTCAAATCAGTTTTTGCGTAAATCGCGACACGAAAATACCGAAAATGATGCAAGTCAAGAGTGGAAGGCTACTTTGAATCAAATGAAGCGCTTTTTTACTGACAATCAACTTTTTTTCTTTCATTTTTTACGCACCTGTGATAGTTACGTGTTCTCGGAGCTGGTTAGGCGCCATTTAGAACGTGAATTCGACGCAATTCAATGCTGTTCGTCTGACCGTAAAGATTTTACTGAGACCGTGCTGAAGCTTAAGGTCGTCGCCAAATTTCTTGGTTATTTCCGTTTTTCACCTCAGTGGCACGTGACGAGCTCGATTCGGCGTCTAGCATTGGAAAATGAAGCATATCAAGTGGTTGAACAAGAAGGTATCAACATTTTTGAATGGACTCGGGAAGTTGGAGTGGACGTGAAGAAGGCACTTGAAACAAGCATATTGTACGGAAAGATTGCTAAGTGCATTCCGTGGTTGTGCGACTATATGTGTATGTTAGTACTCGACACCTTTTCAATACAAACAACGTATTTCAAGCAACTTTTGGTGCTGCTGCACCTTTTGTATCGATCCCGTCGCCTGACTTTACTAGGTGAGACTGGACTGTACATTGCTATGCAACTTGAGCGAATCTTTGACTTGTTGCATGTGGATGGAAGCATAATGCACAAGAAAGAGTTTCAAAGTGATGGATTGTTTCCATCATCTGAGGTATGGAAAGCGCTTCAAGTAGACAAAGAAGCATTAGGTTATCAGCACGAAAACGACATGGAGATAGATCGGTTACCATTTTTGTATAGTCAAGTCTTTATCCAGAGCTGCGTAAGTGAGATCGAGGACTTGCGAGGATGTATACAGACATGTGCGCAGCGAACACTCCGACATACATCCGTAAGTGCTGGAGCTAGATTGAATGCAAACCACTTTGCCACGCCACTACGTAAACTTCGCCCACTGCAAATCATACTTGAACCTGACACAAGTATTTCAAGTAACTCGTTAAATTTATCGTCTGTCGATCCCGACGGAAAAGTGTCACCGATAAATGGCTCACTTCCGACCATTTCATTTGAACAGATTCAAGAAGCGGATACGTTATCGGACGCGCTATTTAAAGTTTATCCAAGATTAAAAAGTATACTCGATTTTGTGGTCATCACCGTGACAACGGACGTATGTGAACATGTGATAAAGTACATTGTAATGTCTCGAGCGGACACTTTCGTGGATCGATGCAGTAAAGAGAGCAATTTAGGCCGAGAAGTGACGAGCGGGAGAGTACTGTCAAGTCAAGAAAACTCAGCAGTTGCTGCTCAGTCGTTGTTCCAAAAACTTTTAACCGCTAAGACTCGTGACGAGGTAAATGCTTCAGTACGAACGGCCTTGGTTACTGCGCTTCGATTGAGGCAAGAGCGCGTATGTACAGCAATTTATGCGTTCATGCCGCCATCGGCTCATCCGACTTTGATCGAGTCGATTACTCGTGTCGCTCTGCAGCGCACGCGTGGAGCTCTGGAAGTACTTGTGTCCAAGAGTACCCAATCCGAATTTGTGAAACGCGTGGAACACCAAAAAAAAAGGATACTGAAAGATATAGAAACGGTAACAATCACGACTACACCATCCTCGTGTTTTTGCACGAACGTGCCACGAGAATTACGACGAATATGTGCACTGCTGTCAAAACATATCAATTTCGAAGGACTCAAAGGAGATGAAGCATATTGGCAATCGCAGATAAAAGTTCTGTTGCAGTATTTGTCGGAATTTTTAATCATGCTAGATGAATGTGGCGATTTGGCTGGGCGTCTCTCGACTTTAGTGCTTTGGGATGTTATCTGGCGTACCATAACGTCTTGTTTCAGGATTTTTGAAGGAACATTAAACGTATTTGTGAAGTGGCATTTGAATTGCGAGCGCAGTACCTCTGAACTGATTGAACTGGCAATACGAATAGTAACATTGTTTGAAATTCTTGTGCGCTCTATCGGAAAACGTGATGATAATGATGCTGCAGTTGCTCGCATACAGTCCCTTTTCATCTTTGTTCTAGACTTTGTGACGAAATTACCATCCACGCAATGTTCTTCCGATGAAAATTGTGCTCAATTGGCAAAACGAAGCGCTATTCGGATTCAATCATTTGTAGTCGCGAATTTAAAAGCCGTGGCAATAGCGGCGGATAAACAATGTCAAGTTGATATAAAGTGGGACCAGTATTTAAACGCAAAACATGCAGTCAACGCACTGATGCCCATTGATTGGCAACGATATAAAACTGCTACTACAACAACGACAGCAGTATAAATGGCAAAGCTGACGAAGTCGTAAACGTTTGCCCAAGTATCGTATAGTATTAGCTAGACACGAACTAGTTGGTAAGGAAACGTGTATTATATTATTACGCAATGATTACAGCAAAAGGATGGTTTTGGGGTTTTATCAATTCCTGACTTTCGCTTGACGTAGATGATTGTTATACGAAGCGTAAAGAATTAAATTAGCACTTAGTACACAATGATTTAAAAACTGGAAAGAGAGGCTATTAATTTATGGACTAAAACTTACTAATGGACGTAACGTATTATGGCGTTTGTGCACATTGAATTGCTTTGAAGTACCAAAGTACTAGCATAATGCGGGAGAGATACTTAGTCTTTCAAGTGCCATACATATAGCGTTATCATTATGCATTAGAAAAGGAGATAGATTTTGCAGCACTTGAATCTTTTACATGTATGTCCCTCCTGAAATGAGCTAATGATTGATGTAAATTTGTTACTTAAGGAGAGCTCAGTTCCTTTCGCCCCAAAGTGGAACTCACATTATACAAACTCTGTGGATTTTCTAGCGCGGAGTCACTGGATCAAAGCGTAATTTCTGCAACGTTCCGTTGCACGGGGTAGCACCTGTCGTAAAGCCGCGAACCGAATTTTTAATATACTTAATCATCTGTGTGAATAGAACAAGAATTGTTCAAGTATCTATTTGAAGCAATCGATCACAATTTGTAGAATCATGTCTGTCAGTGAACCGAAAATATAAGGCAACTAGCGGCACAAAGAGCTGGAAGATATAATTGCTCGCCTTAAGCACATACATACTAGCTAAGTGAGTGCGCTGGTCAGAATTACTATGTAAGCATCAGCTGGCATGGTAGGAAGCAAAATCGGCTCCCATTTTGTTCAACTTATGAAAAGCATTTTTCGCCCAAGGAAGGGAGGGATGCAGAAATCTCTCTTCTGCTAGATATGAGAAGCTAGGTTATTCAAGATGTAGCGGGGCTGCCGTAGCTCTTTGCTCAGAGGAAGCTTAGTCAAGAACACCGACGTTACGTTCTCTACAAAAACTAATACGAGTGTAGCAAATCGCGATTTGCTACCTCCAAGAGTACTTAAAATCTTGACAAAGATAAAGACGCTCTTTCGTTGTTTTAGTCGCGGCAGAGCCGCCAATAGCAATCCTGCCACGTAGTGGCTTCTTGTTACGGTGTAGCCACACCATTGTGTGATTACACCAATTATTCACACCTATGTACGGTCACACCATCTTGTGTGACCTTCCCCTGTATACAAGGGTACGTGTTACCCCGTTAAACTCTCCCCTATCAAAATTGTGAATACCCACAATTCACATATCATTGTCGCCTCATACGAGGCTTGCGAGTCTGATACACCGTTACGTCTTCAATAACATCCTTGGACATTCTCCACTCAATGAGTTCTGTGTCTAAGACTCGAAAGACACCCAGCCTAGCTCGCTCCGAGCGCGGGCGGAGCCCTTCCTCTCTTTCTGCACGAAGTGCATCTCCGGACAGTACGTCAGCGGCTTCACGGGAAGCAAATCCCAAGCCATCGGTAACCGAGCGCCACACACATATAGGAAGACGAGAGGATGAGGTGCGCCAGCGGCGCGACGTGAGCCCAGCTCGAACCTTGCTGACACTGTGTCCGTTCTTCGACCTCCCGACTTCCGAGAGAAGTAGTATTGATACCAATTGCTTGGACGAGGCACAGGAGCAGCAGTTGGAGGCTGCACACAGGGCGGCTAACATGCGCTCGTATCCACGTTTGGTCCTAGACATCTTGTGGAATATGGCTTCCGCTCGGTGGACCCCGCTACTGAAGAGAAAAACGCGATCGCGTGACGGTTAGGCGTCTACGTAGTCGGGCCCTCGGCCACTACACAAGCTGAGCTTGACCAGCGCGAAGGTCTCCGAGCTCGCTTTTTAGTATCCCAAGAAATCCCAATGGATATCTACATCGACTTCTTTGTCAGGGGCGACCTACTCCTTTGCTGCTCGCCCCTGACAACACCGCTGCCGATGATGATGAGCTCTTTCAGCGATGGGTGCAGCGGCACCAAAAACTTTTCTCGCGGTCTATCTTACAGCAAAGTCACAAGGAAGTGGACGTGCACGTTGAGCGCCATCTCCAATTTGAGTCTGTCAAACTCAAGGCGCAACACCGTCTTCCTGTGTGATGTGGGCCATAGCTTGAGATCCGCTCATGGTCCACCGGATTTCCGGGCTACTGCCAAGAAGCGCAAAGCGCACGACGACGCAGAGTGTCATGATTCTTTCGATCGTAAGCGTCGACGACGTCTGAGCATTCTTACCGAAGTTGCACCTCAAACTCCCACAAGTTCTCGAAGTTTGGGTGTCCCCGCCACTTCACAAGATATTGGGTTCCACCCTGTCGACGACGGCGACCCACAATATATTTCACGTGATAGTGGACGCCACCATTCTCGTTGAGAAGAGTCGGTCGCGCTTTGTCAGAGCGACACTTAGCAGTCGAGCAGGCGATACGTCGCTTCGTGCAACGGCGGAGCGCCTTGTGCCGTTGGAAACGGAGATTGTTGCACTTTATGCTCAGAACCAGCTGCTGATTCAGCTTCTGGGTGGCCGAGCGTCTTTGTACGCCGCCCCGGTGCCAACGCTTTCGCGTTTGCTTGCGCTGAATCCCGGTACGGCTTAGGCAAGCCCACATTAAACACCGGGTGGGCGTGCATCCTTCTCGGAATGTAAGCGTATACGCAAGGCCTCGCTTGGCCATGACTTCAAGAAATCCGAAATTCAGTCAGAGACTGCATGTGTAGGAAAGTTTTTAGTGTTTAGTGAAACCAGGTCTCCGACCTCAAAGATTTCCATCTTACTTCAGCTTCTTCCATCTGCATATTCTTTCTGAGTGTCTTGGTCTTAAGCCGCCGCGAAAGTGTAGTAGGACACTCAGTCTGGATAACAGGAAGTCATCGACTTCTTGACGGACAGTGAGAAGGCTGGAATCAGCTAGCCGTTCGGCCATTTCTTCCCCACCAAGCCCTGAACCATGGGATGGCGTCGTCTGCGGGACGCGAGGATTAAGAAGCCCATTCACGTCAAACGGCCTAAACCAGTAGATGAATCCGCTGCATTGTTTAGAGTAAACTCTACGAGTGGCAACATGCCGCTTCAGCGCTTCGCCTCGTTGGCATCTCAGTACACTTTACGAGTGGCAACATGCCGCTTCAGCGCTTCGCCTCGTTGGCGTCCCAGTGCAGACGCTGCGAAGAACGTCTTCATCGACGCGATTCACGCGCTCGGTTTAATCATCGGTCTGCGGATGTTCTGTTGATGTCAGTCAACTTGGTGCCCAGAACCCTGAAGATTGTCGTCCAATACTTCCCAGTGAAACGTGGGTCTTTGTCAGAGACAATTGACTCCGGGGGTCCACGTTGTCGAAAGACACGATCGGCAAACAACGTCGCTGTACCCACACCGTCGATGGGTTTCGGCACTGCCAAGCCATCTTGCTCAAACGGCCCACAACGACCATCACACCCGTGTTGCCCGCCGAGTCCTTCGACAGGCTAAACACAAAGTCCATACTCATGTACTGTCAACACCGGTAATCTGGCTAGCGGTGCCTTCGCATTCTGAGATGGTTTCACCCTCTGACACGTCTCACACGTGCGCACATATGTGCTCGTCCATTTGTACTGCTTGAGTCACCAGTCGTGGCAACTCACAGAGCTGTACGTCTTCCCGTCACCGAGATGACCACTGAGTGGGGTGTCGTGGGCCTCATAGAGGATACAATATTACAAATCCTCATCGCGAGACACCACAATTCGCGGTGTATCCGCTGAATCAGTGCTATAATTCAGCAACTTGTTATTCAACGAATATCGGTATAACCGCGCGAGCAAACACGCTGACAACTTCTTGTTCGAGTTTCCAAAATCCTTGCTCCCGAAAGCCTTGAGCAGCGCTACACACATACCATCGCCCACGTAAGTGGCGCGGATCGACTTCGTCACTAACGACATCACCGTCGTGACATGTTCAAGCTCAAAATCTGGTCTGCGTGACAGCGCATCAGCCAAAGCATTCTGCTTCCCCGACTTATGC